ACATCTTACAATTAACATCCCATACAATAAGGAGTTTAGCTGGCCATGCGAGAATGGGGAGGAATCATCGATGTTGAAGTCATTCCCTCCTCAATCTGACAGAGCTTCAGCTGTTTGTTAGAGTAAATTTTGGTTTCTAAACGAATTCTAGGCACCTATATATAGTACAAGAAATATGGTTAAACTGGGGGGTTTTCCTCTTAAACTTAGCCAGAAGCTTCCTAATACCTCTAGGACTCGGATTCTCTAACTTGGGGCCGAAGTAAGTTCTTCTTGACCTCCATTTGGGCTTGGGATTTTAGCGACGACTGTGGGGTAGTAATTGGTACGGCCACCACTTTTCTTCCTGGGCTGGACTCCTGGCATGTGGACAACCTCTCTCAAAGATTTGATCGCGAATAGTCTAGGTTTCCATGGGAGGCGGTTGGACCATAAGCTGGACCACCGCTGGTTCTTGCTTCTGCTTGTGTCGAGTTGATAGGGTAAAAGCGTAATGCCTCAATCCTATCTCGTAGTAAAACCGGAAAGTCCGGGTATCGTCTCTCAGCGACTGGTACAACCTTATGATTTATCAATTCTATGGAGCAAACTATATGTGAAAATGATTTGGTTGATGAAATTATTATCTAATAGAAAAATAATTAAACAAAACAAGCAAATTAAAGTTGTTGGGTTGAAATCAATGGAAGAAAGCTCTGGGAGGAACACTGGGACTGACTACCTATCATATCTAGATTAATTCACATATTCCAATCAGTTTAATCCAACTCTCTACAGCCAAGATATCATGAATGTGCTAGCTATCCCTGCGGGAATTACCACATACTAAACAATCAACTCAAATCCTACTGTCGTAGCTCAATGAGTTAATTGTTCAGTCTGAAGACCGATATCCCAATCCAGACCGCAATGCATCTTATTTAATCCACTGTCGCTTCGATAAGTTACTATGTCACATGAAATAGGTTCAGTTATTAGGGTTCCACTATCGCTAATAACCTAATTAACTACAAATAGATGTATTGGTGGCAAGTCAACACAAAGCATTAAGCAATTTCATGCAATAGAGGTAGGAAGAAGAGAAATATGAATCAATCCATCAAATCAAGAAATAGCTACATTCTATGGTGTTTCCCTCAGAAATTGGGATTTAGTTCATGACGAAAATAAAACACACAATCATTTTCTTATTATCCATCGTGATATTAATCAATGAATAGGACAGAAAATACTCGAAAACCCTCGCACAGCTCGTCGCTCCAAAGGATCTCCTCGCGCTGCTACTTGCATCGCGATTATTCAGTCCACTCCGCTGCGCTGCCTCTCCAATGTGCTGTCTCCGCAAAAGATTCCTCTCCAAAGCAATTCGTCCCCCCTGCCTCTTATTATTCCTGGCACTAGAAGATAATGGACTTGGGGCCAGAAAATCCAAAGAAAATCCCCATGGCCAATTTTCCCAGAAGCTCTCCTTCCTCTAGAATTCCGGCCCAGTCCAAGTAATTCGGACCCAAAAATGCTCCTGGCCCATTCTGTTAATCCCCCCTCCATTCTTAGTGTCCCTTTGCTGCTCTCAGTTAATTGTCGGTCCAATTAAGTGAAGAAAAAGCCAATCCGGTCCACTTGAGTAATACCATCCAACAATGCCAATTTCTCAATTTATTTACCTGAAACATATAAAATATTTTGCACTCGACGGTAATGGTTATATAACCATTCCAGACTTGTTGAACCCAAAAACAAGCATTATATGTCTCAAAATATCATGTAATAATCACATTAAGCACATAATATCACTATGTTTTCGACAATTATCACAACCCCACACTCAATACTTGCTTGTCCCTAAGCAACGACTCAGACGAGAGAACAATAATTGGAGAAAACACAAGATATACCAGGGAGACACAACCTAGCTCAAAACACAAGACCCACGACACACAAAACATAACATCGACACCATAAATTTATCCTTGTACTCTTGTGATAATCAGTAGTCTCTTTCTCACTGGAGGAGTTGTGCTTTAAGAATCATACCGTTCACCCCACACTCAAGGTCTTTGCAACCAATAACCATTGACTGACTCAAATCCATAAAAAACTCAATTAGCAACACTCAATTTCGATCGTCGGTAGTGAGCGATTAACAACTTGTGATGTAACAGTTATTAGAAGAATCTAACCACATCAGTGAGGTGCATATCTCGTGAGGACAATCTGGCTTACTCACATCAATCATAAGTAATTAACTTAGCACAAGAGTCTAAAAACAAATGGGGGAAGCTTTTCGCAAACTTGGTTTTAACTTTAAGCACATCACTACCTTTTCTGACAAGGAGAGTCTTTCTCTCTTTCTGATTTTTGCTAGCCAAGTGTTCGTATTTAGTACAAGTGGGATTTGTTTCTTACTACCGGTGACTGAGCAAGAGCAATTTCTGCTTCTTAGCACTCGCATAAGGGATTCTTGCAACTCCTTTTCCTCAGTCCGTGTGGAGGGTCACTGCACATCCTCAAACGACACTTCACTCAACAAGGACCGTACTTGATAAGCAACATCGTACGGTCGCGAACCGATGCTCAGTTGAACCTTTCCTAGTTATTAGGATCTCTAAGCATAACATTTGTTTCATTCAGATCCTTCACATTCAAAATTCTCAACAATCAAGGTTTTTCAATATTGGCATCACGAGTCTTTGTACGAAAGATCGACGTGTCATTCATAATGCAAGTGTCATTCTCAAATTTGTACTAAATGCACTTGTCACTTTCACTTTTAAAACAATGAGAGAAAATCTGATTAATCATGCCACGAATTCTTAGTCTATTTCAAATCATATGATGATTTGTCTAACCATAGACTCCAGAAGCATGTTCTAGACTAACAACTTCTTAGGTTGTCTCATGTAGATTTCTTTATCTAAGGCACCATTCAAAAAAGAAGTTTAACATCCATATGATGGTTGTTATTCTACATATTATTGAATAGATATCAAAGAAATCTACAATTTTCCTCTTCACCTAGAGCTTTAGCTACCAGGCGATCATTATACTCATAAACTAAACCATCAGGTTTCAGTTTTTTCGTTTAGGAATCCATTTATTACCTTGGCTTCATTGCCAGGAGATAATTCTCAAAGATGCCAAATCTTTTCGATTTCATCGATATATTACCTACGGCATTACAACCAAAAGGTAACTCTACAAGTTTCTAAGTCTTATTAGACTCTCATGATTCCAGTTTATTAATAATGGCTTTTCCCACAAATCTGCACCTTTACAGAAGTTTGAACTTCTAGCAGACTTGTAGGGTCTTTCTTAGGGTGTAATTAACAAATTCATAACCAAAATCCTTTATCGATTTATGGTTCGTTTGCTTCTTCTGAGTTCATACTCAGATTCACCACCCCCACTAGTTCCATTATTTCTAATAGTAGGCAGGACACTACCCTTACTATTTCTTGAATTAAAATGGAAGTTTATTGGCATCAATTGATTTCACAACGACATGAGTATTTCGTTTCATAGGAACTATGTGTTTTTATTGTTGACAACATAAAATACACTCATATGCTCTTCTAGTTTTCACTACACTGGTTTGTTAACTCTACCACAAGCACGCGATATAATCAATGCAATAAGTAACAATGCAATTAAGAATTTCTCAAGCTATTTCAAATTAGCACCTCCAATAACTAGACAAAACACTTTATAGAGCAATAAATAATTTATTGTCTTTCCACCTTGTTTATCCATATCAAAATAAACCAGATCTATCGATTCTGATTCTCTAACCAAATATTTATGGGTCATTTAGTTTGGATATACAAAATTCATATTTTTCTCAAACATCCAATAATAATATGGGAATGTGATATTCTAATTCTTCACACAGACACACTTGGAAGAATTTATCTTATCTACTTAACCATTCCTTACGTCTAGGATAGTCAATGACTTTCTAGAGGTAGGGTTCTCTTCCACTTTTCCAGAACCATCAACAATAGTGGTGAGGGTCTATCCCAACAACACTTTCTCCTTCAATGCGCCTCAATGCATGGTTGAACTTAGCTACTTTATCAGATGCATTCCTTGAGGCGTCAATATCCAACCACCATTCTACAGAATTGCCATTAAGGCCTATCACCCCATTAGTGATTGTTACCACCAAATCCTGTTATTTTATCAACTTAACACTGGGTTAAACTTGTTCTTACACTTTCGTGTCTTATGACCTAGTTTCTCACAAATTTAACAGAGAAACATATCGTCATTCTTAGAGGATTGGGTGGCAATCTTATGGTTACCACAAAGGGTACCATTCTATTTGGTATGGATCTGATTCGGCTTGCTGCTTTCATTCTTGAAACTTTAATGTTTCAGAGCAGCCTAAGTGGTTCGTGTAGTACTAGTAATAGTACTTCTTACAATATCGTTATTATGGGCAATAAACCCATTTTATTCCCATAAATTCTTCAATGCACACATTTAAACAAAATCATTCTTTCCATAGCATGTATTCAATTATGCTATAACCATCGAGATATGTAATATATCTCAATGTCAACTTATCATGCATCAAATCAAGTTTTCATTCTAGCATTCATAACCTTTCTCAATTCCATGCATAGAGCCACATGGAATAGATTCTAATATCATTCATTAATGACTCACGAGAAAGGTTTCAGTTCTTACCTCTTTTCAAGAAGTCATTGTATTCTGAATTCACTTCAAATAGCTAGCACCAGGCATAGCTTCCCTCGATTCCTTTATTCCATATTGAGACGGTCGTTGTATATTCAACTTTTCCTTGCCGCAAAGAGGATCAGCCACTGCCATATCCTCCAACATAGGGCTCGAATGGTTAGTGCTATAAATTTTACCACCCGAGCTCATGACCGATAAGCTTCCATTAAATTGAGGTTCTCAATTTTCTTCCTTCTCGGCAATTAGCTTGTCCAAAAGGACCTGAAATTGGAGAGAATTAATTCCCCCTTTTTACAAGCGGACCAGGGAAGGCTTTAATTGGGAGGCCATTCCACTGTTCTATCTTCCCTCTGATTCTTTCCTGTTGGAACGCAAAGAACTGGGGATTTGGCAGGGGACTGCTTCCTCGTGGTACATCTCCATGAGACACCAATGGTGGGAACATTATGCCGCGGAGGGAATTTTCGTTGCAACGCTAGCTCCACGACCCAACAAGGAACTGGTCAGAATTGCCGCCTCAGTTCAGCCCATCGGACTTTACAAGAAGCTCGAATGCACGCAGCTTACGAGAATCAATTGCTTCCCTTTCCTTTCAGACTTCTTTTAGCTCCGTGGATCTACGCTAATCAACGCTTAGAGAAATTGTTGTCGGATGTGACGGTTATCTTGTTCTTTTCACGCGAGATGGCGACGGCGTCGCCGAGATTGCCGGTCTTGCCGCCCACCTTGATTCTCTCATGGAGAAAATTCTCGAGTGAAGCGATGTCTATGATCTTATCCTCCACAGGCTTCCCGCAATCTATCACGAAGGAGACTCCCTTCTTCTTTCCTCCCTTCGCCACCGCTGCTGCTCTGCCGCGACTCATCTCTATGCTCGTTTTCTTTTTCTTCTAATATCAGCCACGTAAGAGCCCAACGACGGAGATGTCCCCAACGTCCAGCGACACGGACAACACGTCGACGCCGTCGACGATGGCATCATCGAATACAGGGAGAATGTCGGCGGACAGAATTCAATAGTCCTTTTCCGAGCGACATAACGAGAGCAATCGATCTAGCCATAATAGGTATCCAGTTCGGTACTTTGACAGCAAGCGAACGTCTTAAAATTGTTAGAAACCGAATAGGAAAAATTAGGGTTACCAAATCTGGCTGAGTCGCGGACTAGGTCGCTCTCTTTAAGACGTTCGCGGCACTACCTCGTAGTGCGCACAACAGAGTATCAGCCGGTCGCCTCCAGGATAAAACATCCATTCTAATTTTATTGCTATCGGTTTTGTGCGAAAATCGGAGCTCTATGAATTCACTCTCTCTCGTGTTTATGCTCTACTGAGGTGTGTTTAGAGGGTCTGGGAGGTCTGCTATTTATAGGAGCAGAAAATCCAGAATATTCCCTCTTTCTTTGGTAATAAGTCACATTTTAATTAGAGAGATAATTATTCCCATAATTAAAATATAATTTATTAAGATAGTTAATCTTAATTATCTCCATAATATTCCTTTTATTAATTATCCATCTTATTTTCGTATCATGGGAAAATACTGGATAATTAATTAGGAATTTCATTTATAGCTTTTCAAAGCTATTCATCCCAACAGCTTTGCCCTGCTTTTCTACTGGATTTTTCTTGCTCTTTGGATCCTCCAACTCCTTCCCTCTCCTCAATGTGACTGCTTCAACCATGGCATCCTTTGGATTTCTCTCAGTATTTGCCGGTAAAGTCCCAGGAATCCTACCTTGAATATCTGCAAAAGTTTGAGCCATCTGGCCTATTTGCCTCTCCATAGCTAGCATAGATGATTGCATATTATTGTTTATGACTAGCTGTTGAGTGACAAATTGATCAAGACATTTCAAATTATTGTCTGCTTTCTGCATATGAGCCAAAATCAACTCCTCGAGCTGGGGCTTCTTCTCTAGTTGAAGCTGCTGCTGTTGAAAATCGGGAGGTGGGATGTTTCGAATACCAGTTGGGTTGTTGTTCGATCAGGAAAAGTTAGGATGCTTCCTCCATTGAGGGTTGTAGGTATTTGAATACAAACCACCCTGGCCTTAATTTCACGGATTATTGATATATTGGACATCTTCCAACTGAGCAGCTCCCAGTGGACACATATCCCTATGATGAGGACTCTCACAAAGTTCACATGAAGCAACCTCCTCTTGTCTACCCAGAGCAATCTTGGCCAGCCTTCGTTCGATTGCATCGAACTTTGAATCCAGCTTGGCATCTATCTTTGCTTCTAGACTCACAACTCTGTCTATCTCATGCAAGCCTCCTCTTCTTCAAATACTGGTCTCACTACCCCATTAAGTGGCTTCTGAACAGATCTTCTCTACCAGATCATATGCTGCTGGTGCCTCCATGCTTGTGAAACCATTTCGAGAAGCATTATTCAAGGGGATCCCGGAACTCCCTTCTGATTCCATTGAAGGAAATAATGATCACATTCCAATCTTCAAGACCATGGATTAGGCATCTCATCAATAGCCCCTTATAGCGCTCCCATGCTTTAGTCAGACTCTCATCATCAGCCTGCTTAAAAGTAACAATTTCCTCTTGCCTCTTCATTGCCAAGGCAGGTGGGAAGTACTTATCCAGAAAGACCTTCTCAAGCTGAGCCCATGTCGTGATGGAACGTGGTGTTAAGTTCTAAAACCAGTGTGATGCATTCCCTATCAGAGAGAATGAGAACATCCGAAGACGAATTTTGTATCAGCAGATACAATTGGGTTCTTCATTGTATCACATATGCTCGCGAACCGGCGAAGATATTCACGAGAATCCTCAGTGCTAGCCCCGGAGAAAGTATACCCGTTGGTGATCATGTTGATAATTGTTGGGGTAATCTCCATGGTTGCATCCCAGCCGGAATGACAACACATGAAGCTCGGGCTCCAATCCTTTGATTTAAACGAGCCCTGATCGAACGATCCTCTGCCATGATGACAGGCTCGATGTCGCGTGGTCGATATCCCAATCAAGACCGCATAGCACCTTATTTAATCCACTGTCGCTTCGATAAGTTACTATGTCACATGAAATAGGTTCAGTTATTAGGGTTTCACTGTCGCTAATAACCTAATTAACTACAAATCGATGTATTGGTGGCCAGTCAACACAAAGCATTAAGCAATTTTATGCAATAGAGATTGGAAGAAGAGAAATATGAATCAATCCATTAAATCAAGAAATAGCTACATCCTATCCTATGGTGTTTCCCCCCATAAATTGGGATTTAGTTTATGACGAAAATAAAACACATAATCATGTTCTTATTGTTCATCATGATATTAATCAATGAATAGGACAGAAAATACTCGAAAACCCTTGCACAGCTCGTTGCTCCAAAGGATCTCCTCGCGCTGCTGCTTGCGTCGCGATTATGCAGTCCGCTCCGCTGCGCTGCCTCTTCAATGTGCTGTCTCCGCAAAAGATTCTTATCCAAAGTAATTCGTTCCCCCTGCCTCTTATTATTCCTGGCGCTAAAAGACAATGGACTTGGGGCCAGAAAGTCCAAAGAAAATCCCCCTGGCCAATTTCCCCAGAAACACTCCTTCCTCTAGAATTTCGGCCCAGTCTAAGTAATTCGGACCCAAAAACGCTCCTGGCTCATTCCGTTAATCCCCCCTCCATTCTTAGTGTCCCTTTGCTGCTCTCAGTTAATTGACAGTCCAATTAATTGAAGAAAAAGCCAATCCAGTCCACTTGAGTAATACCATCCAACAATGCCAATTTCTCATTTTATTTATTGAAACATATAAAATATTTTGCACTCGACGGTAATGGTTATATAACCATTCCAGACTTGTTGGACCCAAAAACAAGCATTATATGTCTCAAAATATCTTGTAATAATCACATTAAACACATAATATCACTATGTTTTCGACAATTATCACGAGTCTTCTTCCATTGGGCTTCTTTTGGGATGTAGCTGTGGTTACTATTGGGCTTCTCCATCATTGGACATTGTCTTTAACTCTTTATCATGAAAACTCCATTATCCTCTCCTTATAGCTATTTTAGTCCTCCAGAGTTGTCCAATGCTTGTTCCATATCCTCCTAGGCATGGTCCATGAAATCGTACCGGAGACCGTACCGTAGAAGTTAGCGGTAGGTTATTTTATGGCAAAACCGTGGTTTAACCGTAGTTCAACCGTTAGTACCGTTAAATACCGCCTATCGGTTTAGCCTCCGATACTGGTATTTTGTGGTTGAACCGTCGGTACGGTACGGTTTCATGGATCATGCTCCTAGGTCATGTCATACCTTGAAAACCTTAAAAACATACCAAGAAGGCATCAAATATTACAAAAACACATCCTAGGTATACTAAAAGCTCATTGATTAAATAGTTATGATTTGATATGAAATACAAGAGAAAATACTAAAATGAAGTGATGAAGGGGGAAATGTATCAGATATGGGAGTCATAAACACTATAAACAGAGTGTCATAACAAATACCTCACACTTGAACTTTTTTGTCCCCAAGAAAACACCACTCATAACCATACAACTCAATGAACCCTCGGAACCATCACTCAGCCATGATCTTAGATAGTTGATCATAAGCAGCTTACAAGGTCAACAAATACCACGAGAGAATCCTTACCACATCAACATGCAAATACATCATGTCATTCAACCTAAGTATCAACTACTATTGACAACCTTGGCATTCGTAACCTTCATGCTTCAGCTTCAAGGAAAGTGTTAAACTGTGTCATTTAGTTATTATTCTTATTATTAAGGGAACGGACTGAGTTAATAGGCTAATATTAATATATTATTCTTCTGCTTATTATTAGAAGTATTTTTATGTAATTGTCCTGTTATCCCTAGCTATAGGTGTCGAAGGGTATTAGTAGTCCTATAGTTGTATTTTTATGTAATTGTCCTCTTATCCCTAGCTATAGGAGAAATCTATTTATTGGTATCTCAAATGCTAAATAATGACAAAAATCAATCTCGCAAGAACTTCATGTTTTACTTCATCAATAGACTTTGTTATGGGCAAATCAATTATTGTCGATTCGTTGTCCAAGTTTAGAGGTTATGACATATAAAAGTTTACATACACAATGACTAAGTACCTAACTATATGTTAAGTATCATTAACTTTGTTTCAATAGAGATCAGGCGACCACCAATATTTGATTTTGTTATTAAAGATATTTTAATTTGTGTCCTAAAAAATTATCAAATAAAAATTATATTCATTTTCCAAATGTTAACAAATTTTGAAAAGTTTATATCACTCTCTAATAAATAAATAAAAAGAAAAGTTATTCGCATCAAATTAACTAATATAAATAGGAGGAATTTTACAATACTATATAATATTGGTGCTATAGGTTTTTACCTTTATGGTACAATTTGAAATTGCACATTCAATGTTATGGTACAGTTATAGATTATACCTACATTGTTTTGTACATATTCTTATTGGTACAACTTGAAGTTGTACCTTTATGTGATGGTACAACTTCAATTTGTAAAGTTGTACCATAATATAAGGGTACAAATTCATTTATGGTACAACTTGAACTTATATATATCTAATGTTATGGTACAACTTCAAGTTCTCACACAGTAAAAGCTCATATAAATAGAGCATGACCCGTTCTTTTGTTGTTGGCCGCCTTCATATATACATAGATAGTAATTACTAATTAGTCGTTGCCCACCCCCTTCCACATACGTATAATAAAAATGTGTTGATCTTGCAGTCAACTGTATTAGATGGAGAATCTTGCTTAACTTGTTCAATATACTAATGAATTGGTTGAGCATTTCGTTTTCACGATGGTCTAAATAAATAAATTGATGATCATGCCCCCAGCTTCGTCATTATCTTCATCATCGATCCGTCAATCTGTTGGTTGGCCATTTCCCTTCCTCCCACGGCTAGCCTTAGTTCCCTTTGGTGAAGCGTGAAATTATGCGATCGGGGGCAAATTACTGGGGAGGAACACTGGAGGTGGCGGAGGAAAACGCAGAGGAGGTTGATGAGGAAGAGGCAGAGGAGAGGCGGCGGAGGAATAGGATGGAGAGAGGATC